GCGAAACTGCCCTAAATACCAGCAAGATCTTAAGGATGGGAAAGTAAAACCCAACCATGCAGGTATATACACTATATTGCCTAATAACTCACCTCATTCTAAGTCTTGGGTCCTTGATACAGGTTGTGGAATTCACATATGTTCTGATCTGCAGGGACTAAGAAGAAGTGAGGATTTGGAGCATGGAAAGATAAACCTCATCATGGCGAATAGGAAAGTTTCACCTGTCACCAAGATTGGAGTTTATTCCTTGTTACTAGATAGTGGGTTTACATTAGACTTGAATAAATGTTGTTATTCGCCAGAAATGGCAAGAAATGTTATTTCCTTTCATGCATTGTATAAACAAGGTTTCACCTTTTCATTTGATAACGAAGTTGGTTCGATTAATGCTTTCTTTAATAATGTTCTTTATTTTAAAGCATTACCTTGTGATGGTGTGTATGAAACTGTATCTGTGGTTGATAACTTAGGAAATAATGTATTGTGTATTGATTCTGTTAATGATAATAACTTGGATAAAGCATCATTATGGCATTGTCGTCTTGGACATATAAGCAAGAAACGCATAGGCCAACTCCAAAAGGATGGAGTATTGGAGTCATTTGACCTAAAGTCAGATGATAGTTGCGAATCATGCTTACTTGGAAAAATGACAAAGTCACCCTTCATAGGTTCTTGTGAGAGGGGTGAAGGTTTGTTGGATCTTATACACACGGATGTGTGTGGGCCCTTCAAACATGCCACAAGGGATGCTAATCGTTATTATTTGACTTTTACTGATGATTACAGTAGATATGGATATGTCTACTTAATCAAGCATAAGTCAGAGACTTTTGAGAGGTTTAAAGAGTTTAAATAGGAAGTCGAGAATCAATTGGGCAGGAACATTAAGATGCTTCGATCCGATCGAGGTGGTGAGTATCTTAGTTCAGAGTTCCTTGACTATCTTAAGGAATGTGGGATAGTCTCACAATTGACACCTCCCAGAACACCACAGTTGAATGGTGTAGCTGAGAGGCGCAATCGAACCTTGTTGGACATGGTTCGTTCCATGATGAGTCGAGTTTCGCTACCAATCTCATTTTGGGGGTATGCCTTAGAGACTGCCGCCCATATCCTTAATCTAGTCCCTACAAATAAGGTTGCCAAAACACCTCACGAGATGTGGACTGGAAAAGTTCCAAATCTAGACCACATCAAGGTTTGGGGTTGTGAGGCTTTCGTGAGACGCGAGACTCACGACAAGCTCGAACCTCGAAGTGAGAGGTGTATTTTCATCGGCTACCCACATAAATCTTTTGGTTATATCTTCTACAGACCCAGTGACAATGTGATCTTTGTAGCAAGAAGAGGAGTCTTTCGAGAGAGAGAACTCATAAGCCAAGGAGACAGTGGGAGGCAAGTTGACCTTGAAGAAATTCAAGAGTCAAGCGGTGAAGGAACCTCAAACCCTAGCCCTCAACCTGAGGAGGAAACTCCTGTTGAGCCGACTGAAGAGTCCATACCTCTGAGGCGTTCCACCAGAGTTAGGAATACACCTGAACATTATTATGGTTTCCATATTACTACAGAAGGTGATACCCTTATCAGTGATAATACACTGATAAATCTGGAAGAGCCGAACAGCTACACGGAAGCCATGTCAGGCCCTAAGTCTGCTAAATGGAAAGAGGCTATGGATAGCAAGATACAATCCATGTATGACAATCACGTTTGGAACTTGGTTGACAATGTACCAGGTCGTAAGACAGTAGGGTGCAAATGGATCTTCAAGAAGAAGACCGACATGGATGGTAATGTACACACTTATAAGGCACGACTGGTTGCAAAGGGTTATTCTCAAACTCCGGGAGTTGATTATGATGAGACCTTTGCACCAGTGGCCAAGATTAAGTCTATTAGGGTTCTATTAGCCATTGCTGCATTTCATGATTATGAAATATGGCAATTGGATGTCAAAACCGCTTTCCTTAATGGAAAGTTGGTTGAGGATGTTTACATGGTTCAGCCAGAGGGTTTTGTAAGTACAAAATACCCTAATAGAGTGTGTAAGCTTGAAAATCCATATATGGATTGAAACAAGCACCTCGCAGATGGAATCTTTGCTTCGATGAGAAAGTCAAAGAATTTGGCTTTTCTAGGAGTGAAGATGAATCTTGTGTATATGTCAAGGCTAGTGGGAGTATAGTTAGCTTTTGGTATTGTATGTGGATGACATACTACTCATAGGAAATGACATCCCAACTCTGCAGGAAGTTAAGTCCTGGCTTGGGAAGTGTTTCTCTATGAAGGACCTAGGAGAAGCTGCCTATATTCTAGGGATAAGGATCTTGAGAGACCGGAGTAAAAGACTAATTGGACTTAGTCAGAGTACCTACTTGGATAAGGTGCTGAAGAGATTCGGCATGCAGGACTCCAAGAAAGGAGAGTTACCCATCCAGAGTAACGCCAGATTGAGTAAGACACAAAGCCCTAGTACTGAGGCTGAGATAGCAAAAATGAGTCGAATACCTTATGCTTCGGCTGTAGGATCGATCATGTATGCTATGACGTGTACTCGACCTGATGTATCCTTTTCTTTGAGCATGGTTAGCAGGTATCAGGGGAACCCTGGCAAGGCACACTGGACTGCGGTAAAGAATATCCTCAAGTACCTACGGGGGACTAAGGACTGGGTCCTTACCCTCGGTGGGAGTGAAGACTTGAGAGTTGTAGGGTATAGTGATGCTAGCTTTCAGACTGATAAGGATAATTTCCGCTCTCAGTCAGGCTGGGTCTTTACCTTAAATGGAGGAGCAATTTCTTGGAAGAGTTCCAAGCAAGAGACAGTGGCTGATTCAACTTGCGAATCAGAGTATATAGCAGCTAGTGAGGCAGCAAAGGAGGCGATATGGCTGAAGAACTTCATTGGAGACCTTGGAGTTGTACCAGCTATTAAAGAGCCAATGGAAATTTTATGTGATAGTGAAAGTTCAGTTGCCTTAGCCAAGGAACCAAGGGATCACGGGAGATCCAGACACATCGACAGAAAATACCATTTCATCAGACATCGAATAGAAGAAGGACTCCTCGTGGCAAAGAGGGTATCATCGGATGAGAATCCAGCAGATCCCCTCACGAAGGGACTGACTCGGGTTAAGCATCTCCAGCATGCTCGGAGCATAGGGCTGAAGGATGATATTAGATTTAGTAGTTAGATAACCTTGAAATTTGTAAAGTGTAATTGACATTAGATGATGAATAAAAGGTGTTTTATTTATGAGTAAAGTGTTGCTATCTCTTATCGATCGTTTACTATATTTCTTTTGCATGTTTTGACTTCCAGAATAATTATGTTTGGTATATCATATTATTCGAACCTCCACAGTCGGTCATATGTCGGAAGTAGGTATGAATCAAGACTGTCATGATTGGTTGCAGAGGTCTAAGTTGTTGGACATGGCTACAACACTCATGAGTGCTCATAAGTTCTGAGCATTGGACTCAACCCACACTCACTGGAATCACTTCATGGAATTTATCTCGAGTGATCGTGAGACGGTAATATAATATAAGTCTTCAAACCTAGAGATATGATTTGTTACTTATGAGTTGGTTATGCATTGATTGTACGTTAACGCATTGGTAACTCGATGTTATAAAACGTGCTTTTGTGTATAATTCAATGAGTGGTAGAACAAACACATGAGTCGAACTTTATCTGTTCCTTCTTGGATTAGAAGCTGATATCTGGGCCCCTCAATGATTTTGTTTTGACCTATGTACCGGGCCCGGTCAGAACTAAGTTGATGTGTTCAATTAAGTTCTTTGTCAAACAAATCGGAAATCGGGAAACAAACTGCTGGACAATAAGTAAGACATTGTTCCATGTATTTGTCCGGCTGATATCTAGAACAGAGGATTATATGATCACTTATCTTAAATTGCGTATCATCATCTTCTCAGTTCCGAGAGACCTTGAAAGAGCTACGATTGCCGATCGGTTCCTGAAGTATTGCAGTTATAGTTATTAGACTTATCCAAGTGGGAGACTGTTGGATAAGGTGTCTAAGTCCATAACTATTTCTGGTATGTACTTGACCCGACCCGGCATGGTCCATTTGGGTTGCATGGCACCATGCAATTGGATAAACTAAAATGAGAGAAATAACACTTATTGTTTATTAATATATTATAAGTTCTAATATATTAATAATATTATTTAATTAGTTTGATCAAGAATTAATTTAGAATTAATTAAGTGATCAAAAGATAACTAATTAAATATATGGGTAGATTATGTAAATCTTCCATATCTTATATAGTGGGCTAAGAGGCTCCATGGATTATCAAGTTGGGTTCCACCCATAGGATGCTCCGTGGATGCTCCATGGGAGTTACAAACCCATGGGTCATGGAAATGAAGAGTCATGACACATTAGGGTTTACATGGTGTAACCCTAGATGTGTCAACACTATATAAGAAACCCATTCTCCACCAAAATTGGCGACACATAAGAAACAAGAGGGCTAGAGCCGATTTTGCAAGTGTAAGATTCTCTCAAAGTTTACTCCTTTGCATTTGGTGTTGTGTGAAGCATTTGAGGCATCACACTTGGGGTGCTAGGCTCACAAGGTTTCAAGGATCATAATCAACAACAAGGTAAGTTATTCTATCTTTCATTCAAGTTAAAAATGTTCCCCGTGTATGCTAGATAGGAATATAACCTTGGAATTCAACTTTGCATGATTATTAGACAAACATAGATCCAAGGTTATTAGGGTTGTATGTACACTTAGGAAGTGTTAGAATGCTCAAAACCCATCAAAAGAAAGCAGTGAGAAGTGAAAAACAAACAAAGAAACAAGGCTATAAAGGTCAAAATAATAAGGAATTAGGAATTAGGACCATCATTGGCAACAAAAATAGCAAAATTTAGGAATTGCTCCACCCCACACACCTTTTCTCACCGGAATGGCAACAGAAATAGCAAAATTTTAAGTACTCTCTTCACCATTCAGCATAATTGTATCATCACCATCAAGCTGAACATCAGAATCACTAACAACATTTGGTTTTCTTTCCGGAACCGGAAACGGGATATCAACTTTAACAGAACTGATGGAAAGAGCTCCAACCTACCTTTAGATTCCTGTAAAAGATTCTCCACCCTTTCAATCTGAATCAATTGAGACTGTTCAGATGCCCATTCAAGAACAGTAAGCACTTCAGCCTGTGCTAAATCTTCACTATCAGGAACATGAAAAGCAATGTAACAAAGAAGAACTAATGCAGGAATTTGAACCATTTGTTCACCAAAATACACCAATTGAATCAAATGTCGTGTTTCTCCAGTTGTAATAATTGCTTTTGAATGATCAAGATGAAGGTAGTTTTCTTTACAGGTGAATTTAGCAAGTGCGATCGTAGCTTCTTTTGAAATTTCAGCTTCACGTTCTTCAAGAAGTTGAACTAAGGGTTGGATAATGCGTGATTCGGTTGCACGAAATGCTCTTGCTAAGTTACCGATTGATTGGATGCATGGAAGAAGTAGTTTTGAATTTGAATCTGCTTTTTCGATGATTTGAAGGAGTTGTTCGATTACAGCTTTGCAAGCGGGTGCGTTTGGTTTGAAAGAAACTCATCTTAAATCGGAATCTTCTTCTGTTACACCTGTGATTTCCATGAGTGCCATGGCGGAATTGTATCTGACTTCTTCTGGGCCTTTTTCTAGTAAGACTGCGAAGCAGAGTAGAGCTCTTGATTCAGTTATGCTTCTGCAAATGGTGGAGTTTTCTTTGGCGAGATGCCAGAGTGCTTTCGCAGCCATTGATTTCATGTAAGCTTTTGTTGCTGGGTCTTCTGATTCTCTCCCTTTGTGTAAACTAAGGGAAAGGCTCGAGTTATGATGGATGTTTTGCTTCTTGATTGTAATGTTTTCAGTTTTTTGATTATGATTCGGGTTTAGGTTGCTAGGTTTTTGGCCATCTTTCATTCCCATCGTGGTTGCAACTACACTGTGCATTTTGAAAGGTTGATTGTTGTTACCAGAAGGATGTGGAACTCGAATCTTGTCTTCGTCTTCGTTTGTAGATTTGTTGGAAGGATTGTGATGAAGAACGCCATTGGAGTTGTTGTTGTTGCTGCTGCCGTTTGTATTGTTGCTAGCTAAAATAACAGCGTGAATTGAGGTGGGTTTGTTGCTAGTGATTGCGTACTTACTGTGTTCTTCAACTGTTTCAAATGCGACATGTCCAACGAGTAATCAAACGATGTTGTGTTGTGCGAAGAGATCTTGACATTTTGGATAATGAGCTACGAGCTCCGATACAGCCCAGGCGACAACTGCTTGCATTTTCATGGGACCTTCTTTGAGAATTTTAACAAACACCGAGCATACACCGGCGTGAATCATATGTTCAATGCTCTCAGGATCACGATCTAGCAATCCGATTGCAAACGCAGCTTTCTCCTGACCTCCTGGTTTCCCTTCTTTCACCAATTTCAGCAACGGATTGACTCCGCCTTCTTCAATTATCAGCTTCCCATACCGATCGTTGTCTCTCGCAAGCGAGACAAGCGACGCCGCCACGTCGGACCTGTCATCTAGGCTTCCGGTGTACAAAATCACAATTTGCTCCCAAATTAAACACAAGAATAGGTTCATTAGCAGCGATCGGAAAGACATGATCCGAGGTCAGAGGTGAGTTGAGGTAGATTCGGTAGTAGTGGAGGCGGATTAGGGTTACAGAGAAAAGGAGAAGGAGAGAGTGAAGGTTGTCGGATGGTGGCGTGCTTGCCTTGATCGATGTCGACGACCGGGAATGGCAAGTAACGATGGTCGAAGTGCGATGGAAGAAGTAGGTGGCAGTCAATGTCTAATGTCGGGAGGGGGAAGGAAGGAGCGTTGATAATTAGGGCAAGAGGGAAAGGAAGAAAAAGGAAGGCAGGGTTTTTAATTTTTTAGGATTTCATTTCCCCCCCAGCTATTAAAGGATGGAACGCACGTTTCCATTAAAATTTATAAAGCGACATCAGACGACACACATTTTATTATAGGCGCCCTCCGTGTTTTTTTTTGTTTAGACACTAATTTAAGGGAACGCAAAAATGCGCGTCCTAAATCCTTAAAATTTATAGAGAGATGACATTATTTTTAGGTCACACACTTTTGCGTATCATAAATCGATGCGTATCATAAATTGTGCGTCGTACAAGGCTGTTTTTCTAGTAGTGACAACAAAAAGCTCAAAATAACAACCAACTTAGTTAATACAAAATACACATCACGTAAACGAACATAGTTTCATACAAACAACCATAGTTGATAGTAGTTTCATAAAAACAACAACAGTATACCAAAACACATAATTTCACACTACATACCATGTTAATATCACATAAACCAACACTTATACTTATTCTAGAGTAAGAGGTTTAGCTTCTAAATTCCCAGGTGCATCTACATCACCAACTATCTTGCCCAACTTCAACTTGATAATCCTTTCAGATTTTTTCCTCTTTATTTTCTTCAAGAGGGTTGCAATTGGTGTTTCTATAGCCTCCTGTTGTTGCACATGAACCTGACTAGGTTCTCCATTTCCTGATGCATCAAACTCTAAAGGAGTGAGTTCCACCTCATCATAGTGTTGTTGCACATGCATCTCATTGACTGCTTCTCCACCATCATTTACTGCTCCTCCATCATCATTGACTGCTTGATCACCCTCATTCACTTCATCACCTTCATTCACTGCATTACCTTGATTACCTTCATTCACTTCATCACCGTCATTGACTGCTTGAGCACCACCCTAATTGACCCATATGAAACAATATTAGATATTAAGAAAGAAATTGTAAAGATTTAACCATCTAAATACTTATTTACCTATTTTTGTTTTCCTTCTAGCTTTGATTTTAGGAGGCCCTGTCAGAGTACAAGCTCTTTTGTTGTGTCCTTTAATCCTACAAAGACTACATTTTTGTTTTTTCCCAGCCTTGGATACATTTACCTGCTGTTTACCTTTGTTTTATGTTTGGGTACTCTTCTTTGATTTTTTACTTGACTGGTTTTCTGTTGCATCCCTTTTCCTTTTAGTTGTAGGTCTCCAAGGCATAGTTCTACGAACTAGAGGTAAAGGTGGGGTATAATCAGTTGCAGGCCACAAGTTACATCCATTCATAGGTGCTAACCTAAACTTGTATGCCTTCATGTAAGTGATGCTACTAAACATTTTGTCCACATATGACTCTACATCCCTATTCATATAACTAATAGCTACAACAGAATGGACATAACCCATTCCATTAAGCTTCCAAATCCTGCACGAGCAAGTTCTTTCTTCAAGATCCGCCTCATAAGCATTTGTAGTTCCTTTTACTTCAAACTAATTTAGTCCACTAGGTAACACCTGGTAATATCTTTGAGATTTCTTAATCTCATTCACTAATTCTCTAATTGTTGGACAAATTTGGTTGCCCCATCCTTGACCCTTGGATTTCTTCTTGAACACCCTCTCTATCATATACATCCTCAACTCCTCTAGCATGGTGAGAATTGGCTTCTTCCTAGCATCAACAATCACAACATTAAAACTTTCTGACATTCCATTCTCCACAACATCACATCATCTTCCTGGTTCGAAGTAGGCCCTTGACCATGTTTTGGGGTCTTTGTCCATCAGATACTGATGAGCACTTGGGTCTAGCTGTAACACCCGGAATCTTAAGGAACAATTGTTGGGAAGAAATCCCCTTTTGAGGATTGGATACGGCGTGTTGGAGGAACCAAAACAGTGTGTCTAGATAAGAAGACGTACAGTTTTCATTAAGGTCAGCACGACGTGTTGCCTCTTGGAACATGACGTGTTGACTGCTGGAATGAAAACCCTAATCTTCTTGGTTTTTTCTCCCTATTTAAAGGAATAAGAAGGCTAGGGTTTGTCCATCCTCAGCTCCTCAAGCCTTGAAAGAAACCCTAATCATCTTCCTCCATTTTTAGAGCTATTTTGGTGCATTTTGAAGCTAAGAAGGAAGGAGGAGGAGAAAGGAAGCAAAGATCAAGCAAGCAAGTCCCCATTCTCCACCTTAGCACACTTCTGGACCTTTGTAAGTGTAAAAGAATCGATTTTTATCATTCCAAGTTGTTAGATCTTGAGTTTTGTTCCTTTTGCTTCTTATTCTTGAGTGGTGGAATGGCTAGACGTCATAAAGTTGGCAACTTTATGAATCTCCAGGTCAATAGGAGTTACTAGTGTTTTGGATCTGGATTATAATCAAGTTTTGATGTCATGCATAGAAATTAGGTCATGAATCCCCATTTTGACCTAATACGGCTTCAATACATGCATTAGACATGTATGTTTATAAAGCACTAACCTTTGGGATGGTTTTGGTGTTTGAATCACTTCTGGAAAGGATGGACTTTGGACTTTGAGGATTAAGTGCTTGTTGGTTAAGCTCTTGCATTATTAAGCTTTATGGATTGAGTTTTGAACCTTTTTGGGTAGTCCCAATGGTTAAAGTTGGAAACTTTATCCTTCTGCACCTCAGTATGGACTAGATCTGAGCTTTGGAGCTCTTGGAATCGGAGAAAACAACTTAATGTATTAAGTTGTTGAATCTAGGGCAAGCACGGCGTGGTGGGGCCTGTTAAAATCAGTGAGCGGGGCCCGCTATACGAGTTAGGGTGGGGCCTGTTATACTCATTGGGCGGGGCCTGTTATCTGTATGATATGTATGGTATGTGGTATCTTGGGGAACTGACTAAGCTTTGTGCTTACGGTTTTCAGTTTATGTTTTAGGTACTTCGGTTTTCAAGTGGAAGAGCTCGGGATGATTGCAGAGCACACACCACATGTTTCCGCATTCTGTCATTTTCTATGATAACGATGATGTATTAATAAAGCTTTGATTACCATGGTTTATGAAAATGAGATGATGTACTATTTTAGTAATTTAAAAATGCAAAGTTTTTAGGTATTATTTGTGCGACGTTTCAAGTTGTATCAGATCATTGGTTTGAGGGATTCGGACATACTCTCGAGTGTGTCTGAACTCAAACTGAGGTTTTGGTAAAGTTTTCAAAGAAGAAAAGTATTTTTAAGAAAAGAGTTTTCTAAGATAAGAAATGTTGTGGTGCGTGCAATCAACCGAGCTCAAGTAAGTTTCTCCCAAAATACCCATACATGATATCTGCTATGATTTGATTTATGAATCTATGAATTGCATGCTAGTTAGGGCTAAGGATCTGCTCGGCTTTTGTTGAATTAGATGTCTAAGCCCATAAATATTATTGGTATGTACTCGACCCGAGAGTAGCATGGTCCATTTGGGTTGCATAACATCAGGACAATTTGTTAGGATGGACTTTTGAAAAGAGGTTATATATGATTTATTAATATATTATAAGTTCTAATATATTAATATGAAATCATATGATTTAATTAGTATTGATCAAGAATTAGTTTGGAATTAATTTAATGATCAAAAAAGACTAATTAAATCTATGGGGACTAAATATGGTAATTGGTTATATTTATATGTGTTGGGCTTATGATCCATATTGGACTAAGTTTATGTATGGATACATAAAGAGTTGGGCCACATGAACCATGGATCATAAAACCCATTGGTATGGATTTGGGTTATACCCATGACTCTTGGAATCCTACATATAAATATAAGCTCCATAACCTAAAAACGCCACTTCTAGTTCTTGGAGTTCATGAAGGCGTTTTTGGTGCATGGAAATTCTCTCTCAAGAGTCACCTTTGTCCTAGGTGAGTTGTGATTCCATTTGAGATGCAACACTTGGGGCACTAAGTTCTTAAAGGCCAAAGTCTTTCTAGCAACATCAACAACATCAAGAGGTATGTCTAAAATTTGTCTTATTATATATATGTTATTTGTATGCTAGTTGTAGGCTTAAAGGTTTGGAAACCATATGCATGTATAATTAGAGATAACATAGATCCAAAATATTTAGGGTTGTATGTGCACCATAGGATGTTGTAGTATACAAAATCCAAAAGTGGTATCAGAGCCATGGGTTGTTTTCTATTATATTTGATGCTTGGTTATTTTTTCAAAGCTAAAAAATCATTTTTTTTGGACTCTGCTTGATCACCACGAGGTGGTAAAAATTACCACGAGGTGGTGACGGGTCTGGCAGATTTTTGGATTTCTTGGCTTAATTTGGATTTGGATAATTACTATAAAATGTTTTCTTGATAAAAATTCGATTTTATGTTGTGAAAATAATTATCCTCATCCAAATAAAAGATAATTGTCATAGTTTCAAGATTTTATTAGTTTATGTAATAGACTAATTTCTTGTAAATAGTTGATATGAATTATCTTGTTATTATGAGTTTAGTCTAGATCATGGAAAATTTATTTGAGTATTGTGTTAATTGGAGTATTTGTTCTTAATGGTTTTTATGAACTCCATAACTTGTCCTCAAGTTATGGAAAATGAAGAGTTTTTCTTTTAAAAGTTCATTAAGATTCATAGGTTATGAAAAAAAATGAAAAGTCTTATTTTAATGTCATCATAAAATAGTTTTATGTCTTCCATAACTTGTCCTCAAGTTATGGAACTTGAAAAGTCTTCCATAAAAACCTTATTAAACTCATAAGTTATGGAAACCAAGAGTTTAAAATTCAACCCTTATACTATTATAATATTATAGGTTTAATATTTATATATGTATAAGAGTGGGTCAGTCTTACTGTTAGTAGGCCTCATTCACGAAGCCGGTCTATAAGGAGGGTATAAGGTTACTGCCTATAAAATGGCAGTTTAATGGGTGTCCACTCTCACCCACCGCTTCCTTGACTGATGGAGGGTCGTTAGCCGAACGGGTAGGACATGACATTAATTCTCCCTTCATTAAAAGTATAATGATAAATATAAAGTAACTAAACTTTATTAAATTCTCAATCTTAGTTACTTTAGGAAAATGTGAATTTGGTGCTAACCCATGAAATTGCACTTTGCACCTTGTTAAGTCGTTAGTGGAGCGTGTGTGGTTAACCAGCACACTAATCTGGGACTGATAATGTGTGGCAAAGGGTAGCTTGATGTTAATCATAGATCAATGGAGTGTGTGTGGTTAACCGGCACATTGATTAGGTGGTTGTAACATTAAGTGTACCAAGTTAATTTGCATGGTTATTCACTCCTTGTTTGTGATCCTCGGCATCCCAGTCACAAACTTGAAGGGCACAATCGAGATTTAAACATGCCATTGAATAGTTCAATTAATCTCAAAAGATCTAGGAGTTTCAATTCATTTAAAACCTAATGTTAAATTTCGTTTTTCATGGTGGAAATTGGTAAATCGTCATTTACCTACCTTCAAATATTTTGTAGCTTGGATTACGACATCCCTCTTCCAAGTTATAAAATATTGTGTTGGGTCCTAGCCTTAATATTTCATATTGGGTGTTATATTAAGGACTTAAATCAACTAAACTTGAATTTCTCCCTCATAGATGTCTAGTTATGACAACTATGGTCTTCCTTATCCTTTTGGATAAAGCTATCCTAATGAAGATGATATCCCAAATGGCGATCAAGGTGAAAGATTAATCCCTTTGTTGTGCATTAATGGGACTAGAAATCATACTTCACTTCCTCCACCTCCTCCAATTATTCTCCCTAACCCACAAGTTCTTGAAAAGTGCAAGGTTACTCAATCCCTATTGGCAAGCAGTGTCTATATGTGCTCACATCTTGGAGATGAAGTCACATATTGACAAGTTGGGAGAGTTGGGTGTCGAAGTCTCAAGGAAGTTGGCTGTTGACTGGGTTCTTCAATCACTTCCTAAGTCATATAGCGGGTTCTTTAAAGGACTACTATGTGACAGATCATGACATGACCCTTATCGATCTTACCTATTTGCTTGTTGTTGCTGACTCAACAATTATTTGGAGCACTGGTAAAGCAAATTTGATTTGAAGATCTACTTCCCAAACTTACATGGACATTGATAATGGAAACATTGGAAGTCTATAAAAGTCTTCTCTTCCCAATGGAAAGGGATTGGCCATAGTCAACCCGGTTGACCAAATGGTAA